TTTAAAAAAATAATTTAACTCTGTGAAATTTTAATGATTATAAAGAGAGAAATTAACTAAATTTTTTTATACATCATTCATTGAAGTTATAAAAATCAGTGGTTGAAATAAAGATTAACATGTTGATATAGTGATCTAAGTCGTTTTGTGAAAAATTACAACAATACTGACAAATAATAAGTTGTTCTTGAAGTAAAACTTTATATCATCATTCATTCAATGTTTCATACTAGCTAGTGCCGGTAACCATAGCTAAGTAATATAAATCTGAGTTCATATGAGCTACAATGTAGTGGATTGACTTGTTTGATCAAAAGTAATGATTCTATGATCATCTTTGTACGCTGTTTTCCTGAAAAAATGGGAGATTGGTTGGTCGAGATGTATTTAAAATGGTAGAAACAAACAACTTCAGACTATTGAGGAAGTATGGTTTGTGTTTAGTTGGAAAAAGGATTAAAAAATAACCTTTACTTTATGGACAACTGCATAATCTTCATGACCGGTGATTCTATAGAATGCTTCATAAGCAGAATATTTACATGAACCAAGATATACTATGACAGTAACCTGATTAAAAAGGAATATATGCTATAAAGAATGATATACATATCAATAATTTACAGTGGACTTATCAATAATTAGTGACCGATACCGGGAATGTCGAACCCTTCTTAGTTCTGATCGAATTATATCGATAAATGTGCAATGTGATCACCAATCGAATCCGTTAGGGAGAATCAAAACTTCAATTACACCTTACTGATGAGCCCTAAACAGAGCGAAACTCAGGTCCATGGTTTACTGAAATACACTTAAACGAAATAGAAGACATTTTTAATGAGAAAAGCAAATTATGAAAAACCTTGACGATGAATGATGTGGTAGACAGAATTAAAAAACAAATGAATGACTCATTGAAACATAGTAAAAAACATTTTATTTTGGATAAATTGTTCAAAATGTTGAAACCGACGGGAACGATGACACCGATTTATATACCAAAAGTATATAAATCTGCCTCGCCCCTTCCACCCATTTTACAATAAGAAATTATTCGTTATCGTATAGCTGAACATTATCGATCCTGGTTGAGGAAAAGATTGGTAAGAGTGTTTAAGAGTTCTATTGTCGCCCCTTCGGTGGATATAAAACATCATGTTGACCTGAATAAAACTTTTAACATCATCCATAACATTCTATCAAATTTACCACACGGTTTACAAGTTCGTCTTTTGCATGTTTCTGAAGCTATCAGAATCCATGTTCATAAATCAAAACTTTACATTCCAAAGAAGTTTTTGTACACACTCTCTGCCGTGGCCATCGGTATGACAGCGAGTTGTAGTTGAACTTTGATTAACCTCATTCTTTCAAAATATTCAAACAATTTTTTAATTCTTTTTCCGTAAGTTGGCATTTTCTCAACAGCGATTTCTCGCTTCCTGCATTACAATGACATTTCATCAAAATATTGTCTTAATTCTTTTATATACCTACTGACATACGTGTAACACAGAAACTATCTACTCGATGTCCAACTTTTTTCGATCTTTTAATCACTTTGATTATTAGAGTAATTTACCTCCCAGTTACACAATATAATTTATTAATCAATGTGACATTAAATGATCATTATATTATATAATCACTCGATGAGTATGATACCGGCTCAATGGTCTGATGGTTAGACGTTCGCGCACATATACCGAAGGTCCTGGGTTCGAATCCTGCGGGGTGCAGGAGTCGAGGAGTCCCATACCAGGACGAAACGGCCGTCCAGTGCTTCCAGGTTTCCAACTGTGGTCTAACATTGATCGATTCATGGTTTCAAAAATGTGTAACTTAACAATCTTCACAACCCCGTAATGTAAAATAATTTCATCAGGAATTAAATTGCTAAGATGTAAAATTGTTTCCATGACCCCATGTCTCCATTAGCCATCGATCAATCAGGCAAGTTTTACTAATCGTCTGAATGAAAACCTAGTTTCTGATGAATATAAACTAGTCTACTTCAAAGGAGTAGTATTTCACAAATCACATCTATAATATGGTTTTACATGTCTGTGTCGAACAACGAGGCTGATAATAATTTTCAAGAAATGTCTACTGGCGTCGGATTTTTAAATGAGGAAGAGTTAGCCGGACAATTAACAGTTAACGGGAATCAAGCTTTCTGTCACTCTATTATTTGTAATAGTCATCTCAAAAAGAGCGAATTTTATATTAAATATATATGCAGAATGAAAGGACATTGTCAGTGGCTAACAATATCTTCACCAACATGAAGGTATGTTTTTTCAATATCCAGCCATTGGTTGTAGATGTCTTCCCTTTGCCCATGTTCATACGGTTGATGGATTTTCACCGTAATCAGATGGTCAGCGATTCACAACAATGTTTTACTACGCACTGATAGTGGGCGAAGCCCATGGTCCTGTCGTTTGATAGAAGACAGAATTGAGAGCATGCTACCTTTACTGTTGTTTGAAGCTGCACCCTTTATTGTAAGAAATTACGTGAACGGAATCTACAGAAAGCCAATCATTTTACATGATGTCTGCAGTATACGTTGTCTTGTACTTAAACAGACAAAACTTCCAGGTCAGCATGAGATTTTTCCTAATGTTGACTTAATAAGTAGTTTTGAAACCTCCGCAACGTACTTGATGCATCTGGGAGGCAAATCACAGATCTAGCATTACGGAGACGGTCAAATATATTGCTATTTCTTTTGTACAGAAGAAGATAAGAACTTAGCTTGCCGCCAACTATTACAACCACCGACAAAAAAGATGGGTCTTTGACTAGACTAAATATTCTTTGTTCATGCATTGTGACCGGTCATCTCGCCTGTTATGTACGATTAGGCACTGAAGAGCTACTGTGTATGAAAAGTCATGGTAATGATGTATGATGGGCGGACCTCTTTACAGCCACCTGACTAAACGATTTAACAGTCTTCCACTTTTATCGAGGCTGATAGAAATCCTAAAAAATTGAGGACAGAATATGTTTATATTGACTTTTAATTCTTAAGTATAAATTTCTGTAGCAGTTTACACAGTTATTCTAACTATCTAATCACAATTTTCAATACAAATGTCAAGATGGTTCTACTATACGGAGTGGAAACTTGGAAAAATACCAAAGCCATCATCCAGAAGATACAATGATTTATTGAAAGTTGTCTATGCAAAATACTGAGGATCCATTGGCCAGACACCAACAGCAACAACCTAATGTGGGAAAGAACAAACCAGATTCCTGTGGAGGTAGAAATCAGGAAGAAGCACTGGAAGTGGGTGGGACACACTGCGTAAATCACTCAACTGCATCACAAGACAAGCACTCACATGGGAGCCTCAAGGACAAAGTAAAAGAGGAAGGCCAATGAACACATTATGCCAAGAAATAGAAACAGACATGAGAAGAATGCACAAAGATTGGCCAGAACTGAAAAGGAAAACCTAGGACAGAGTAGGTTGGAGAATACTAGTGGGCGGCCTATGCTCCATTGAGGGTGACAGGCGTAAGGGAGTAGATGTAAAAGTATAGGTGAATGTAGATTAAATTTGCTTAAACTATCTAAAATGGTTTTAATTTTCGCCCTGATAGTTAGGATTGCAATTGATCAGTCTTATTTGGCATCTAAATGAAATACATAACGTCACTGAATTCTGTTATCTTCTCACTTTAGTTTTGAACTAAATTCTAACAAGTAATTTGTCTATGAGTAGTTGCATGTGGAAGATGATTGCTCCGAATATAATTATTTATGTGAGTCAGTTATTACAATGGTTGTTATCGCCGTATAAATCCCACCAATTTACTCTGTGCTAATTTATTTCATAGTTTATTAATGCCAACAAAAATTGGTATTAGCCATGACGTTCATTTCCTTCTGCATCAATCACACTCACATAGTAGATTTTGTTTTCGAAATAAAATTGAATGTATCCTGCAGTCCGATATTAAGAAAGCAAATCGTTAGCAAAGTAAAAACACTTAAAAAAAAATACCTTCATACACTTCAAGTCAGTAGACAATAATATGGTCATAGTCAGTGGGTTCCTATCATTTTTAATATTATTGGTCTGAAGTGTATGTCCCTACATCATTCCTACTTATATTAATAATATTTTTCTCTACCCAACACTAATGTCTATTTACAGATTGTTTCCCAATTTTGCTGTTCATTAGTTTAACAATCATTTCAAGGTCATTCAACCTAATTCACCCATACGAACATCATTTATTCCAATTTAAATGCACTCTCTTTACTAGTTATTATTGTTATAATTATTTCATTGGTATTTTTTTTTCGCTTGATGCTTGATATAAAAGCATTATCATCATTTTGATTAATAATATACATTGGCACATAACAGTGTTATTTTTTTTATATTTATATAATAACAATATGAGATCATGGTGTATGACTTGCTTGGACTTGTTTATATTTTTCAGTATGCATACACATATTTCAGCCTAAAGGGACTACAGAATGTTTTCATTGAATATACTGTTTCTAAATGGATACCGGATGTTTATATGTACGTATGGACATACATACACTTTCTTATTGTTTTGAAGTCTGAATTGTTAAAACTAACTGCACAAATCAACACTGTTTAAGTATGTATACAAGGGCAGCTTTTCAAATGGTCTGTCCGTGTAATAGGCAATCAACACTAATGCACAAATATATATCTACACATTGTATGTGCCTTTATCGCTCATTGTTCGAAGATTCTCTGACCATGTATGATGGTTTACACTTTACAATTCATACTATTCACCATGGGTAAATGTTTTGAATTTGTGAATAGATATTTTAAAAAGCAAAACGAGTAAATTAAATTATAATCACTTCTAACGTTGTTAATAATACAAGAATTGCTTGATGATTATGAATTTTTATCGATAAGAAATTCTGGAATTGTTACTACTATGAACCTCTTCTAAATCGAAATTCAACTGTTTCAGTCTATTGTATGATGAATTATTTATATTGCGGTTATTATCAGCTGACGTTAATTTTATGGATTTTGTACTGGATTTTACTATTATCAAGAAAATGTTTAGCGGCTGATGAGATTGAGTTACGTCTCCGTATGCGTGAGGAGACTGCACCATCTACACGTATTGGTTCAGTTATATCAAGTTTACCTGTAAAACTACGATCACAAATGCATTTTTTAACTGATAGTACATTTTTTACAGTCACACCAACAAGCGGTGAAATACGTGTTGGACGTTTGATTGATCGAGAACGATTATGTCCCGAATTTAAACTTTGCTGTGGTGTGATCACATGTGAATTGAAAGCTAGTATTTTTGTTACAAATAAGGCTGCAGGTGAATTCGCCGCTAGTGTCTTATTGAAAGTGGAAATTCAAGATCAAAATGACAATAGACCAACATTCAGTGCACAAAGTCAAACGGTCACTTTATCTGAAGCTACTGCTGTGGGTACATTAATAAATATTAATGCAGCGACTGATGCAGATATTGATCCTGAAAATCAAATACAGCGTTATACTCTTGTCGAGCCCACAGGTACATTTAAACTAGATGTATCTGGACTCCCTAACGTCCGTTTAGAATTATCACATCCACTTGATAGGGAACAAGTAGCTGAATATAAAGCAAGCTTAGAAGCTTGTGATCCTGGTGCATGTACTCGACAAACTCTAGAAATTCAGATTCTTGACGAAAATGATAATAGTCCACGCTTAGCAGACACACAATTTAATAAACAATTGATTGAAAATATTCCAGTTGGTACTGTAGTATTACAACTCAATGCTACTGATATTGATTCAGGTGAAAGAGGCAGGGTTATGTATAATTTTCATGGAAATATTGATTCCGATTTAACTGAAACATTTGAGCTTGTACGAGATACCGGTGAAATTAGACTAAAACGTCCATTAGCAGCAAATATACGTGATAGTTATGAATTTAAAGTTGTTGCATGTGATGCAGTAAACAGAGCATGCAGTGGAAATGAGAATTCAACTGCTAGCATAACATTCACTGTAGAAGATGTGAATAACTTCCCACCATCAATCCATGTTGTAGCTGCTGGAGCAGCACTAGCTACCAGTTCAACTGATCAGAACAAAGAGAGTGACTCAGAACCACCAGGTGAATCAGATCATAACAATTTTAATGAACCAAAACCCGGTGACAAATTAAATATTTTAGAAAATTCTTCACCAAGTCAAATAGCAGTTTTAACTGTTCGTGATGATGACACTGGTGACAATTCTAAAGTATCATGTTCCTTGAACGAAACCAATGGTAACATAGCACTGAATGGTGAAAAAACTACGCAAAATTTCATACTTACGCCTAGTGCACCGGGAATTTATTCATTGCGTACTACCAAAATATTCGATTATGAAACTGAATCAACTGTACGTACAACAGTTGTTTGTCATGATTATGGTAAACCACAACAGTTAACTTCAGCCAGAGTGATTACTGTACAAATTATTGATGTAAATGAATATCAACCGGAATTTTCACGTCGTGTTTATGTTAGTCGAGTACCGGAAAATGCATCACCTGGAATGGATATCCTGACAACTACAGCAATAGATCGAGACAGAGGAGCTGTACTGAGCTATAAATTTGCACCTTCTTTAACTTCATCATCACATGATGGAGAGAAAGATTTTTCTAAATCTGACAGTATACAGTTAGACGATGGAGTTAATCAACACTTTATCATTGAACCACAAACTGGAGTAATACGAACAAGTCAAGTAAGTTTTTATGTATAAAACGACAATGAAAATTGGTTATTATTTTGTGGCTCATAAATATCTGTTGTTTCGTTGAAATCTTATATACTGAAAATAATGTGTAAAATTCAGTAAATTTTCCCGGTCTTAGGTCATTTATTTATTTATTTTTTGAATAGTTGGTGTCTGTTTCATTTTTCTTAAAATAGTCATTATTCTTGCTAAAAGAAGTTTTGCATTTTTTACATATTGATGTGTTATTAAAAAAAAAACTATCACAGTTTAAATTGATTCCTTCATGAGCGCACTCACAAATGCATTCATAAACAACCTTGATAATACTCTTCATTCTATGATCAAAGTATGTTTCACATATTTTAGTACACATTACTGCTTTCCTGGTCTCGCGTTTTATGTAGCCCAAATCGTAGGTGTATAATAGTCTGCGAGCATGTCCGATTTCAAAAGATTATAAATAATATAACAAGTATCTAAATGAACATTGCTAGTGAATTAAGAAACTGAATTGGAAATAACGGTTCGGCGTTTCTCGATTTTCACTGGATGTGTCAGTTAGTCAATTATTAGGCGAGTGGTATATACGCGAACAGAAATCGATCCACGTCAACACCAAGTAAACAACGCCAAAAGATTATCAAGATGTATTTCTAAGTCCTAGCAGTTGCTATAATGTCGGTTTTAGTAAAAAGGGTTCCGTAAAGAGTACGTACTTAAATAATAGTAAGTGATTCGTTGAACTAAAGATGCACAGTAACGTTAAAACTAAGATCTGTGGGAAGAAAAGAGTCAATTTACAAAGCAAAATATTAGGAAATTAAACCAATTTTTGTGAATTTATTCTAATATTAGATATCTTATCTTCAAGAAAGACGTGTTGATTTTTAATTTTCACAGATTTCTATCTTTTCTTCTCAACTTTCGAATATCACTTGGCAATTAGATATCCTTTACAATAGTTACAACAATATGAAGTGTAACCCTAGATACTATATGGTATACTTTTAAATGTGTCAAAAACAAACCGAATTGTTCTACTGAATTTAATCTCTTTATTTTAAAGTTAGCGGTTTCTTTCATAAATAAATTCAAAACAACGGAATTAGACTATAAATTTTTTATGTTTGATATGATTATGTTTGTACAACGAAAGAAGATGAAAAGAAAAGCTTGAATTTTTGTCATAGTTAATTTTATTAAATTTTCAATGTTCTTTTAATATATATATATTTTTAAGTCATCTTGTAAGTGAATTTTTTTTTAGAATAATAATGTATCGCTGCCCTATACATAAATATTTGTGAAACAGATTCAAATTACAATTTCATGCTAACACTCAAATAAACCGAATGATTAATAAGACAAGTTTTGCATGACTCATGACATGCAAAAATAATTACTGTTATCGACCGCCGAAATATATCAAATAGATGTTTTTAATAGGTTTTCTCTCTCAAACTGAATACTCCGTGCTAAACTACGTAACACACACATTTATCACTGTGTTCGTTTAATTAATAAATGAAATCCTAATCTATCAACATAAACGTTCGGTTTTAAGATGGATAAAAAAGTCTGTTTTCATTTTGATCATATATATTGATAATTTAACTTAGATATATAATTCAATATCAACAAGATGACTGAAATATTTGAGGACTAGGTTCTGATCTTGTACTTTGAATCTTTATTACATCTACTCTATTTATTGATATGTTCCACATTGAAATATTCATCGAAAACAGTTTAAAAATAGTTGTACATTATCATAAACCGAAAATAATTACTATGCAAAATTAATCATTGTACACGTTGAAGAATTTGTTCCATACAATTAAATTCAATAATATCAATATTCATCAGTCAATTCATCATTCCTATTTTAAAATATTTTAGTGAAATACAAAATATTGTCATTATCCTTCTATAGAAACGAGACAGAAACTACGTTTGACGTATTCTGTTCTTTGGTAATAAAGTGATACAGAATATCATTTTGTAAGATTACAATATGACTTCCTACACATCTATAACGTCAGATTAATATACTGACATCATGTCTGATATATATATATATATATATATATATATATATATATATATATATATATATATGTACATATATGTTCTATCTTGAAGAATTATTTCTATTCGGCTATCGATTGAATTCGGCTTTCTTATCATATTACAACTTCATTGGATAAGAAAGAAATACTGAATGTGGAAATAAACTGTATGCGTATTAGGTTAAAAGAAAAAAAAAGAAATAACACAAATTTATAAGTTTCGTTATTCGTGTTTAAATTCTGTTTAAATCAATCGATCGGATCCTAGTATACTATGACATACTGCACTGAATAATTTATGGCATATTCGCATAGCTAGGACGATTGTTGATTAAAAGTAATATATTAGTTTCTTTGCTGCTGATTAACAATTATTCCACTCGAGTTGCATATTGTACCACCCATGTAACACATCGTTCAATGAGTGATGTTTGCAACGCATTAACTCTCGTCCAACTGGATTTTCAGATAATGGTTTTTGAAATGTTGAATAAAACTAAAGAGAAATTAAATATGTACCTAGGTTGCTATATTTTCAGAGTTTCACTTGAAACAGACTAGGCCATAGGGTTGTCAACTGTATTTTCCTATCTAGCAATCTATGCTAAATTCTCTTTATTCTTGTTGTCATGCCCACGATTCAGTATTAGGTACTTGAATCAAACCAAACTATTAATACTACTTATATAGATAAGATAATGTTTTGTTGTAAGCATATCATTGTTTAATATTGATTCTGCACTTTATTTATCAATAAAGAAATACTTGAAATATACATATTCAAACATTAAACTAATAAAATATCCAAATGTCACGACCGTATGTCAGATTTTGTTTAAGAAACTGAGACATTTAAATTTTCTTAAATTTACAAAATACTCTTCTGAGAGTGATATTTCATTGAGGATTGATAAAATTATTCGTTGCATAACAAAATCTGCTCTATTTCGTATTAGATCAAACTACTAGCTCTGCTATCAATAATTTTAGCACAACACTATGCATTCATCAAGTCATTTATTATATATATATATATATTTGCTTGTTTCCGCCACGCTTTTCTAAACTCTCTAACTCTTTTGATTTTTTTTTGATTAAATAACTTATGCAAATGAAGACTGTTTCAAGATAGTTTAATGTTAGCAAAAATAATTTTATCATTATATCTAGCCTATCAATGATGAAAACAATTGCCAAATATATTTATACACATTTTATTCACTTGAGATATTAGTGAACACAGTATAATAATAACCTAACACATTAGTTTTTGTTCCTTTTTTTATTTATTTAAAAATTCCAGTTAAACCATTCAAGTATTAATGCATACAGAGGAAAATTGTAGAAAAGCAAATTAATTTAACTTAATTCTAAGTATTAATTCTAGTTATTTTTGTATGGAACTGTACAACTAAGTAATTTCAAGAAAAATGTATCTTTGGTGTCTGAATTAATTTAATATTTCTAATAAAAGTCAATTCCATACATTGAAGAAGAAAAACTGTCATAGTGTTGTAATTATTCATGATGAAAGTATATTAGACAATAAGTTAAATGTTGTAGGCAACGATATGAATGAAACAAACATTATGGCCGTGTTAGGTGTCACTACCAAGGTTTGTCACGATTCCATCAAATTGCCCGGAGTTCGACTCTAAAAGTGGTCGTGAGTACGGGCAGCTGATAAGTTCTAAACGTGTAAGAAACAGGTACTTAACGCTTCCTGGATTCTTAAGTCTGTTTGGTTTAAGCCACTTCGTGATACAACCTATGTTTAAATCACTGAACATCGAGATTAAGTGATCATAGAGAAGAAACTAAATAAAACTTCACTTAGTATATAAAAATAAAGACAACACTCTTCGTTATGTGGAGAACGTTGGAAAAAGTAGCAAGTGTTCATAGTTTTTTGTGAACAAATCATCGCTATACAATTAATCTTACATAAAGTTCTCCGTATTGTGCTTGAGTCAATTATTTTTTAATAAAATTGCAAAAGATCCAGTTGGTGATTATGTGTTAATAAAACTAACCTGAACTACAACAAACAGACAAATGTGAAGTGTAAACAACAAACTAGCAATTTTACTTTATAAAGTTTTTAAATGATTGAAACATAATTGCGAAATTTAATTTGTCAGTTTTCAATATGTCAACTTTAATTATATAATAAAACTTGACCACCTTCAAATTACTGTCATTGTCGAAAGGAAGTCAGTAAATGCAAATTGCGAAGAATTATTTTAGGCAACTAAAGTTAATTTTGAAAATATGGCTAAATTCAATTCACTGTTCTATGTTGTGATACACCATGTTATCATGGTTAAATACATTTCTTTCACACTCTCTTAGCCATTGTAAACATGTTCGTTGATTAGCTTAAATCATTTCAAAATTAAGTACACGAAAAAACAAGGCATTATATGAAATAGCTGGACGATGAATGGAAATTAAGAAGAGTTAAAGTTATATTTCTTCTCATTTGACTAATACGCAGTAACACTTGACAGTGATGTTACAAGCGATTAAAATGAGGAATATTTAATCACTAAAATTATGTCCTGATATTCAACCATTCAATAAAAAGCAAATTACCCAAGTCTTATATTTGAATTTAAGCATTACTCAGCATGAAGTGAATGTTAGTTTTATGTTAGACTTTAAAAATTCCATAACCCATTGTTTTTATCATAACATAAAGGCACGTCAGAGCTTCTAATTAGTTAACAAACGACTGGTTAGGTGATTCTGTGTTCAATTTTAGTCTCTGAGACGCCCTATTTTCCAAATGGATTCAGACTTAACAAGCTTACTGATCAAATATTTTTTCATGAATTCAATGAACTTTTGTATCACCCTTCAAAACTTTATTTTTTAGTTGCAAGCTCAGTATATCTAAATTGATTCAGAAATATATGTTACATAAAGGCTCTATCA